AATTTCCCTTACTTTCCGAACGTAGGATGTCCCCGACGAATCCGATGATCTCGTGTCCTTAGACACACCCCGTTATAGTTTTCCTCTGGGGTATCACCGGGACGGAAAGTCATTCTTTCTTGCGGTCTCATCGACAAAAAAAAAGGATTAACACCTTACGGTCAGCGAATATTAACACAGAATCCGACTTAGATTTTGCGAGTGCGTACGACTACCGTCCCGTTGTCCGCGGATTCCCTAGGATCATTGTCATTAGTCTCTCGAGTATCTAATTACCACGGTTATTTGTCCGGTTCTATGGCAATCGTATTTGCACTAGCCAATGTCTTCTCTATTGCATAACGACGACGTCTAATCCAAACGAAGATTCGCTTTACGCCCCTAACCCTAATTCTAATGTACACCCGACATATATATGCCGGAGATGAAAGGACACCGGAGCCTTCCCTCTGGAACCTCGGGAAAATCCATAAACTTGTAATTAAAGTTTACAGTTATAATTAAACAATCTGTCGTCATTTTTGAAACAAAATGGATCACACATAATTCAATAAAATAATATAAAACAAATAATGTTGTGCATCTACTATTTCCTTGTAAAACGAAAGAAACTTTTGGGACAAACTAATAGAATTCTACTTCAGTAAAGGAGAGATTAAGAAATTTTATTCGCGAGAAAATGGACTATTATTTTTAGGATTTATTTTTTAATTTAATTTTTATTACTTAGGATTAAGTTCTTCATGTGCAAATTTTTTGATGTCTTATCGATAAAAATGTTTGAATTTTTATAGAACTGGAGCAATGAACAAATATATATATGTCGGAGATGAGAAGACACCGGAGACCTTCCCTGGAACTTCAGGAAAATCCGTAAAATTGTAATTAAAGTTTACAGTTGTAATTAAACAATTTGCCGTCATTCTACCCAATCATACTTGTTTGCGATTTGCGATAATAAACTTGGGCTCAAGGCGACCATCCGTCGCCGAACATAGCCACGGTCAACGGGACGGGCGCTCCGTCTAACAAAGGTGTGGAGTGATGTTATGACCCTCATTAAGAGAAATACCCATAGAGGTACCTGACAGTAAAACATGCCAACGGTC